AAAAGATAGCTTTTTTTTTTTATCTGACCAGACATACGTGGAGTGACGGTCAGCGAGAATTTCAGAAGTAGAGGGAGGAGGAAAGATGACCGGCCATTCTGGAAGTGTTCTCTATACCTGTGGATACCATGGCGGTAGTCAACAAGTATTTTAGGTTGAAAGGAGTGGGGGGAGGGGGGGGGATATTAGTAGTATTTTTTTTTTATATATGATTGGTCATTTAGGAAGTGTCCTTTATACCTGTCGAAAGCAATTTTTCTAGAGTAGCTGAACGAGGGATATTAGCAGTAATTGAGTGTTTTTCTATATACATAACCGGCCATATGTGAAGTGTCCCCGATATCGCTGGGTAAAGATGACGACGGTGGTGTTTAGCAATCATTTTAGGTAGAAAGGGGTGGGTGTGAGGGGGCGGAGACAAAAGCTAGTAGTTTTTGGGCAGTTTTCTGTAGAGGGGAGAAAGGAAGAATATTAGTAATACTTGGGTCTCTTTTATTGCGTGCGCTTGGCTATTCGGCGAATGTTCCTCATAGATACGAGCAGGAAAAAGAAGTGATTTCTTTGTTTTCGTTTTTTTTATTTATCTCTCTAAAGCCTGAAATTTTTCTTAGACATTTTATAAATTTTTCCTTTGAGAAACAGAAAAACTATCCTCCGACGGTAAGTTGTTATAGAAGCTGAATTTGATTTGGACGTATCTTGGACAAACACTGGTTAAGATCGCTTTTAAATTTTGAAAAGAATTTCAATACTTTGCCGATAATCAAAATTTTAAATTCATTACACATAAGTGCATACGTGCGTAGATAAAAAGCTTATTGCGCTTAAGATTTCAGTTTGAAAGAAATTCACTTTTTTTCGCGCAATCCTCTTGCTAAAACACTTGAAGATAACCCACCATAGCTATCAATGTCTTTCTTTGCGAATCAAACTACCTTATGATTTCATCTGCAAATTTTTTCTTTTTTCTTATGTTGATCAGTCATTGAGTCGCTTGTGATAGTCAAAAATAAATGAGAAGAGTGTGAGAGGGAAAGAGTGGCCATTAGGTGAGAGATGTGATTCACCTTCGCCTGTAGCTATGCAACAACAAGACCACATGGAATCGACTATGCAACGTCTGTCTTCTTGTTTTTATTGACGTCGTGGTCATTGCTTCAGAAACACAGACTTGCTCTCAAAAATTTTCTTACATGTTTTCGTTAAAAATCACCTAAATAGCTTCATGGATCCATTCATGAAAGAGTATTAGTTTTTCAGAGTTTCAACCAAAGGCGCTTGATTTAAATTTATTTTCCATTAATAATGTGAATAAAGGAATTCATTTTTTCATAGATATTAGTGTTACCGTCATGAATGGAAACTTGATTATCTCGAAATTCAGTCTAATTCTTTATGATCTCGGCCTTTCTATATACACTGGATGGGAGTGCATAAATTTCGCTACAACATTTTTCACATTCTGTAAAAAGTCCTTCCTGATCAGCATCAAATTCGGAACACATCTGGGTATGTTCATGTGTTTACTTGTGTAAAGTCAATACTACTAAAATATCGGTATTAAAAGTTGGAAAAAGTGGAAACGATCAGCCTCACTCATCTATTATTATGAAAGTTTAGTTTTTTATATTTTTGTTTTTCTTTTAAGTCTTTTTTAAGATTCATTCAAATATAATTCTCAGACTTGTTTAGCGTATGATTCTAAAAGCGTGACTCACAGCAAGATGTTAATCTCAAAGCGTTTCATGAACTCTCGTCCGGTTAAGTCAAAAAATCAAGAAATTTTCACATTTTTGGTTTATCTTCTTTCAGTTTCAAAATTTTATATAAACGATCGAACCATGTTAAAGTGTTCTCGCGAAGTTTTTTTATTTTTTACTATCATAAATTTTGTTGATTTCTAAATTTCAATGATTGATAGACGGATAGACAGACATTGCTAGATCATCTCAAAAAATAAACCTTATCAAGAGCAGAAGCGCATTACAGATCCTATCATAAAGTTTGCTGTCTTTTAAGCTCGAATGTTAGATGGACGCATAGACAGACATAGTTAGATCATCGCAAAACTTCAAACTGATTACAAAGACCTTACCACATCTCTTCAAAATCCAAATCTTATCAAAGTCAGCTCTATTTTTATAATATTATTATTACAGCTCATGCTTTGTTTATAATTTGTGTTGTATTAATACCTATTGTAATCGGAGGAGTAGTACTGTTAATGTTACGAGTCTTTCCTCGAATAAGTAATATAAGCTTAAACTTTTCTTTTAGTAAATATTATTGTAGAAAGCGGAACTGGAATTGGGATAAACAGTTTACCCTTCTTTCTCATCTATTATTGCCCATGGAGGAGATTCGGTGCATTCAGTTTTGTTTGGCCGGTTTAAGCAAGTAAAACTTATAGATTGTGAAAAAGTCTATGCGATTTTTCACATTCGAGTCTGTTAATTGATCAATTTATGACATTTTTCGCATGACATTTTTCGCATGATATTTTTCGCATGACATTTTTCGCATGACATTTTTTATGAATATTTCTATTTCCCAAGTATTTAGTAAATTCTTTCTCTGATTCCTACCTACCTACTGAAGGACCAAAAAAAGAAAAAAAAGAAAGGAGATAACGAAACTAATGCTTTGTACTAAAATCTATTCTATTTTGAATTTAATGAACGAAGGAAAGTTTGTGTACGATGCGTTATAAGTTCATATGCCGATATTTTAATTTTGTAAAAAATTTCGCAATTTTTTATACTTCTTCGTAGGTATCAAGATATTGCTATGTGAAAAGTTTCTCAACAAAAACAAATATTAAATAACTGTTAAGATATTATATAAATATAAAAACAATTCAAAGATAAATTTTTTTTTTTTTTTTTACTTTTTAATTACAAAATCTAAAACCAGTTTAAGCTTCTAACAGCCTTTGCAAAATATGTGTTAGTTATTAAATTTAATATTATAACTACTTTTTCTTTTAATGTAATAATAAGAAGAACACATTAGTAAAAAAAGGAGAAAAAGAAAAAAATTATATATAATATATATTGTATATACATTCTTATAAGTAGTTTTTAACCTCCCATAAACGGAGACGAGGTTTAGTAAATGATTCTTGCATTTTATTCAAATATTTATTTTCTTTTTCATATACTAAATGGAACTATAGGTCTTACAAATACAACAATTGTAATCTATTACGAAAATTCGTATTCGAGACGAATTCGGATTACCCGAAACCTTAGCCGCAAGTTAGGTTAAGTTGTCGTAGCACCCGACCGCATTAGGTTCAAATGTGATCTTCTTCGCGAATTGATTTCGTTGCGAGACTGGTGCAATTATTTATCACAAATCTCAGGCAAATATATCAATTCAGAAATTTGAAAAAGTTTTTTCTTACTTAGAGTTGTTTTCATTCACTATTGATTGAAATATTATTGAATTTTTAGATGGCAGTGTTTAATACTTGTACGAAATGTGTTCTATAAGTTGAAAATTAATTGATATTTCGCATATATTTTTGGAAGTTTCAGTCATTGCCTAACGGTGCGGACACGATCGAGGCAGGGGCAAGTCACTGTTTAAATTGATTGGCAAATTTCTTTGTTAAAGATTTCAAGCAGTACTTAAAAACTGTTTCAGATTGAAAAAAGGCTTTGTTTGGTTAGGAATATATTAATTTCTCAAGTCACTCAATAAGTTCTTATGATGGCAATTATATAGGATAGGTAGAATGACCGTTGACGGATCGATCGGATTCCTAGACACTAAAAGCCTCTAAACGAATTTTTAAAAACAAAAGTAGCGGTATTCGGCAATAGTGGCGATATCTATATATTATCTTACAAACTTATTGAGTGATATGTTGCACGATCATACTTTAGAGGAAGCGTATTATTGACTACTCTAAACAGAATAAAAAAAAACGTTATAGTCGGGCAAGCTGGATAATTAAATATCCTTTTTTATAAACTGCAATACAATTTTGTCTATCCAGTTACCAGCCTTCGTCATAAAATACCACACAGATAAAGACGCTGTTGCTATGTAAAGTTTTATTTTTCGTAAGAATCTTTATATGGAAGGTGGCCGGAAAAATAAATCTGAAGAGTCCGTATTTAACGGAAAAAATTTAGATAACACTATTGCATTTTGGACGTTATTCCCTTATAATATGCTAAAGATTAAATTTTGTTACCATACAAAGGCTTCTCTTTTGTAAGACTTTTCATATGAGAAGAAATTAAAATAGTCGTCCTACTCCAACGAAATTTTCGACATTCAAAAGGTCGGCTGGACGGAGCGGTCATAAGGCATTCGCAATAAGCTTCGTTCTTGGATCACGACATATAATCACGTCTCTTATTAAAAGTTTATAGAAAGTGTGAACGTAAGTATAATCCGACCTAGATCGATAAACATCGTCCTTAGCCTAAAACATGCTATAGTGTCAAATAGGTGGACATATAAGACACAGACAGACGGGCAAGTAGGCCTAAATCGATTTAGAAAATTATTCTAATAACTATGCCAATCTGGGTCCAACTGAAATTCTTTGGGCTGTTATCCGCACAAATTCCATATACTTTTGCTATAAGCGATGCATGCAACGGATAATTAGCGCAGTTTCAGATCTTAATGAGTGTGGGTGACCTTGTGCAATATGTAACAGAACGGACTGAACGAACTACTGGTCGAACATAGATTTATGTTTTAACTTTGATTATGACGCTCTTTGAGTTTACGTTGGAATACCTCTAAGAAAATAGGTAAACTTGCATATGCTTTGGTGTTAGGTGTCTACATGCGTTTTAAAATATTATTCACGGATATAATAATCGCCAACAAATTGTTTTAATAAGATTTTTTCTTTTCTTAACTAACAATCAATTAATAAACTTTAACATAATAATTTTGGTTTTTAATATATATATATATGTATATACAAGAATCCACAGTTTCAGTCTTTTGTAAAAAAAAAAAAAAAAAAAAAAAAAAAAAATATTTCCTTAATTCTATGCCAAAAAAAAAACAGCAAAATAAATGTTCAGGTCCTTTTCTTTTGCCTAAAGATAGCTATTAAGTACAAAATTTACAATTAAAGTAATTACGAACTATTATAATTAATTAATTAATTTGCAGGTTTCTTAACCAAATGACATTTTCAAAGTAAAATATGAAAAAATATTCGCTTCTGAAGCGAATTTTCGATACCCTCCACCTCAAACTAATATTCATAAAAAAAAGAAAAGGAATTGAAAAGTCAAAAAGTCTAGCCTCATTACCGCTTCACGACTGAATGGGTGAAAAAATGACAAGTTCGAGCTTTTTTAAAGTCCATCCGCGTTTTCATGGCTCGGTAGACTAGAGTAGCATTGAACATTTAAATGGCTGTATGGGAACGTTATTAGTATTATTATTGATGTTATTGCTATTACTGTAATCCATCAATCAAAGAAATAGGAATAAAAAGCACTAGTGACCAAGATTATAGGATCTACGCTTTGAAAGACTACTTGATTACTCGCATCGTTTTAGTGCGGTTGTAGGTTTTATTGATTTTACAAAAACTACGCGATTAGCAGGATTTTGCCCATCACGGCATGGATTAAATTAAAATCAAAAATATTTTCGATTAAAATTTTGTGTTTCATTTTTTGATTGTATATGTAGAGGGCAGAGAAGCAATTACAAGTTTTTTGCTTGAAGTTTAATGCTGGCAAGAGGGGTAAGAATCCAAAGAAAAGAGAAAGAGACAGGGAGCGGCCGCAGCTTAGTGGAGGCATACATTACCTGACTAAGTCGAAGCAAATCCATAAGCTTTTCAGAAATCTCTATACACTACATTTTATTAGGACATTGAATTAAATTTCACTGCATTAGTTTATTTAAGAAAAATTTTGCATTTGAAGCATGCAATATTCTTGCAAAGACTTACGACAATCTTTACGACAACCAATGATTTCAAGCTTCTGCTCCACATAAGCTGGCTGTCCTTTCTCTTTTATGTTACTCAAATCGAACAACACTACCGCAGGAGAAATTATTGCGGGCATCAATGAATGCGTTTGAGCCAGGTGTTGAAGCATAAAGGGCCCTTATCCGAGCAAAGGTAGAGGATAGTTATTTTGCAGTTCGACAATGCTCGGCCATATGGGCCGAAACGTGTGCAAGATCTGCTCGAAAAGTTTTGTATAGGAAGTCTTTGGCCAGTCGCTACATTCACCGGGTATCGTCTTCTGAAACTACCGCTTGTTTTTATAGTTAGTCCACGGCTTGACTGAGCAGAACTTCTTTTCTTACGAAGATGGCAAAATGCAAGTCGTCTCTTAAGTAGACTCAAAAGGCAGACGGCTTGCAAATGAAATATTGAGAGAAAGAGGTACGAAGCGCGGGGTGGGGAGAGGGTGCGAGCTCATAGCTAACAATGGAAAATACTTGTAGCGATAGCCCTTTTTTATGAAGCAATTTAAGTAAACAACATCTCAATAAAATGAAACAATTTGTAGAAACTTCAAAGGAGAAGACAAAATCAATAGATTCACATCTTTTGAGATGATAGAGCTGTAAGAAAAAAACCACTAACTCGTCTTGCCCAATTCACTCCTTTTGTGTACACAAAATTCTAAATCAGTTTCTGGTATGAATTGTTAAGTACAGTTCCCTGTTGATTGAGGGTGTGTTTTCAAAACAACCACACCCACATTTGTGATGAAATTTGAAATGGTCTTCGTAAAACTTGTGATTTACAGACCTTTATAGGCTTTTCAGACTCGTACTCATCGTTTGACCGTCAATTAAGACCAGAATTGCTGAGCTTAATCTTCCGTCTCAATATCAACAACAATCTGCTATCTTGGGCTGATATGATAGGGTTCTCTTAGATGAATGTTACCAAAGAAAAGACAAATCTAGTATACCTACATATCTCGGTGGTGGGTATAGAATAAAAACAAAAGGTAAAATGAAAAAAAAGTAAAAAAAATTACAAATGAATACCGGATTATCTATGATAAATAACTTAAAGCCACCAATTAACGCAATGAAATCTTTTGGTTTTTTTTTTGTTGTATAAATGTAAACATACATAAGAAAAAAAATGAAATACATAAGAGTAAATAGATTCGACATTAAATGAGTCAAACAGTTACGATATGGTAAGACGGGTATATGCGCGCGATAGTTGACAGCTATAAACTCTCTGGCGAGGGTAAGCATTGCTTTTCGTATTTGTGTGTCTGTGTTGCTGCATTTATTTAAACGATAATAAGATTTTTTATGTAACTGCCTGATGACCTTGGAAAGTTGATTGAAGAAAAAGAAATGTGATATTGCTGAGTGAGTTGTAATGTTGATCGTGATATTCATACTGATATTGTTTCCTCTCTCAATACCATGCGATACGCTTAAATAAATTTTATATGACATCTGTGGATAAGTTGATTGAAGAAAAACGGATTGAATTCGTTTAGCCTTCTGTCAAAATCAGGATCATGGAAAGTTGATTGTTGTTAAGTTAATTAAAACGACTTTAGATACGATATGGCCTTGTTCTCCTTGATCCCTCGATCGCTTGATCCATGCTTACGGTAAGTTGATTGATGATTTAAATAAATTCAAATATTTTGCATTTCATTGATTTTGATTTGTATTTGAAAACAAAAAAAAAAAAAAAATTATGTCTTTTTCTTTGCCCGAATAATAATTAACAATAATTATTAATAATTGTTTTCTAAGATTTTTCTAAGATACGCGATTATTTTTGAATATTAAGAGAAGCACCTTGAGAGAGATTCGAATTCAAATTTCACAACAATTCAGGTTTTTTTTTTTTTTTAATTTATTTATTTATTTTTTGTTATTTTTACTTTGATTAAAGAAAACATTTTCCATTTTCCCCCTTGTTTTCTTTTTGGTTAATTAAAATGAAAAAAAAAAAAATTGGAAAACTTTCAAATTAGTTGCCCGTGTTGATAGAAGATTCAATATTCATTCTCATATGAGGTTTTCTTATCAACCACACTGTCTTGTGGCGCAACGCAACTCACAGCCGTCATACATATTCAAATTGTACTGACGTGAGTATTCGTTAACAACATGTTGTCCTAAAAAAAAAATTAATGTTTTTTTTTTTTTTTTTGGAAAAAGAACACACAGATAATGTATATAAGTAAGAGTTGTTTTTCATTTTGAGAGATTTAATTGAAGAAAAACCGGATTATTCGGTATTCTTTTCATTTTTCATAATGAACAACACAGTGTTTTCTGTCATCAATATTACTAATATTACTAATAGTAACTAATTAATATGAAAATAACTATAAGCTTACCATCACTTAAGCTGCGACTTAATCTATTTCTTTCATATTGATTTAATAGATCCGTTTCATTATGTACGCGTACGCGTTTAAACGATGGATCTTCATGTTCGGTTTGTATATCTTTCTCATCGTTGTAAATGATTTCATCCCTTCTTCTTCTTTCTTTAATTCTTTCACATTCGTTCGTTAGGAGATCCGTTTCATTATGACGTACACGTTTAATCGGTGGATCTTCATGTTCGGCTTTCTCATCGCTGCTATAAATGAATTCTTCTCTTCTTCTTTTTCGTATTTTTTCCCATTCATTGATTAGTATATCTTTTTCATTATTATGACGTATGCGTTTAATCGTTAAATCTTCATGTTCCTTCTCATCGCTATAAATACATCGTTCCTTTTTTAAGGATTTACCGTTACTTTTATTCTCCAATCTATTACAATTGAATTTGATTTCGTCATCTCTTTCATGGTTACGATTACGTTTGGTAGACGAAGCTTCGCATTCGATTTGATTATCTCTTTCACTGTTGGGCTCTCTTTGACGCGGTTTAGTGGCGTGACGTAATGTATCGTCATCATGCATATTCAAATTGTACTGGCTTTTATATTCTTCTATAACATGTTGTCCTAGAAAAAAATAATTTTTTTTTTTTTTTTTTTTTTTGGAAAAAAAAGTATATAATAAGACTTGTTTTTCACAATGGGATTTAATTGAAGAAATTATCCGGAATTGGTTTTCTCCTTCTCTTTATTGCCCTTATTATAAGATAGAGGCGAAGATTTTTATATTCAATTTGAGTGTAAGTCTCATTATCGCGTGCTCGATATTAATTTTTCTTAAAGATCAACTCCGTTATATAGATTTCTTTTCTTTTTCGAATAAATTTACCTAAATAGCTGCATATATAACTATACATATATAAAAAATCTGCAGAAAACACTGTTCTTTAAAATAAAATAAAATAAATGCTTACTTACCCTCTTCAATGCGTTTCGATGCTTCATCGATATCGCCACTGGTATCTTTAAGGATTACATACATTAATGGCATCATTTCCCATGGATAACCGAATTTCTCAATTAATTTCTGCGAATTTGATATTATTTCTGAAAAGATTATATACATATAGTGAGAATTAAGAAAAACTTCAAATATTTAGCTGCTTAACAAGTCAACCCATTAAGTCCCTCTGCGAAAAATTGATAAATTTTACTCTAAAAAATTATAATAATAATAAACAAGTAAGAATATTATAGTTGGGCGATGCCGGTTATTACATAAGCTACACAAGTTCGTCTAGTACAGTTATTTGTTCGCTCGTTTTGGTAATAAGACACCAACAAATACACATTTTTTCAGGCAAAGCCATAATTTTCATGAAAGCTCGCTTATTGGAAGATTAGATTTTTCTCTTCACACGGGAGCTTGCGGTTCGCGATAGCGCTTATATAAGTGGTTCGAATTAAGTCTATTTAATTTTTTTTAGTTAATTACTTTCGTAAACCAATTTTCATCACAAAAAAATTACCTTTTGACATATAAGGGTTTACGTTTCATGAAAATTCTTATATGGGCTTGGCGTAAGTGACCAAAATTCGGTAAGATAGGTTTATTTGTCAATTTACTATCATAAAATATTGGACATTCGACATTTTTGGCATATAAAGTTTTCATTTCTGCAGGAATGGTTATGCGAGAGGGGGTTTAAGAAATTGTCCCAGCCAATCCAAAGTTTTAGAATGCTACTTTTGCCGAGACATTTTGAAAATTGCAATTTTTTTTCTATATAACGACTTTCCAAAATAGGGCGTTAATATGGCGAACGCTCGGAATAGTGGACCGATCCGAATCATTTCCAGTGGTGTTCGTCCTTGGGCCAAAGTACGTCAGGGTACCAAATTTGATAAAAATATCTAAAAAATATCTATCTAACTTGAATACAAATTTACATGGGCAGACAGCAGGTGGACAGACCGACTTAGTTTCAGAATCATTTTCTAAATCAATCAGTATAATAAAAGATGGGTCTAACTTAAGCCCTTTTGAGTGTTGCATGCCTCCGCTCTAACTTAATATACCCGGTATCACAAGTGGTGCAGCTATGTCAGGAAATTCTCAATGTCGATCTGAATATCGAGCTGGGGAACTTATTTTGTTTTTAGTGTCACATATAAGTGGCCCTTTAATAGGATTGGAGATTGGAGAGACAGACGCATGTGTCTTTGCTGGGCTAGCTAGTTCGGTGAATATGGGAGGTTTAAATTTTTGTCCCACGGACACTTCACTCGCAAACTAACCAAGAATTGATGTTTTTCGTTTTTTCTTTCTTCTATTCTCGTCTAACCATCATTAATTTCTTAACGATTGAGATATGCAATCTCACCTAATGACAGGGTTGTATTTATAAAAAATATTACAGGGTGAAGTCAACTTCTATAACCATGAAATTCCAATTGATTCGGAATACATTCAAATTGTAGGGTTTGCTTATGTTTCTCAATATCGAGTAAACTCGCTAACTGTAGATTGTGGACTCGCTGTAAAGAGCATGCATTTTTTTTACTATCGAAAGAACAAATCTTTCGATCGTCAATTAATCGATCTGATTCGATTTTGGAGGACCATAAAATAGCCGACTTTTTTCTTTATATGAACAATCTATCTGGGAATGTCTCCTCTACCACCCAACATGGTGACCGTCAAAAAAAAAAACTAAAAATGTAACAAGAGATTGAGTGTGGTCGGCTTCTATTACGGTGAAAGTAGCGACGACCAAGTATTTTGAGATTTGAACCCGCGAACACTGACCTTAACATCTCTGGCCGTTATAGAATATTGTAGCTGCAAATGATGTTGCAGAGGTCAGTTATGTCCAATCACGTTTAAGTCAAAGTCGAAGGCAAGAAGCTCGTATGCGTGCCTTTCGTGCGTCATCAACTCGAACCGACGTACTTTGCAAAGTTTCAAAGTGTCTTAATGATGTTGACTAACTAATATTGAGGTTATGTCCGATCTGTACGGTCGTTAAAAACCCATCGGAACTTTGTCATGATCGATTATAGTTTCAATATGTTAGGTGAATATTTATATTAGCGATAGTCAATGTACTGTACGACGATTTGCTTGGATAAGTCCTATTCTGTAAACCTTCTTTAAAAAGCGAAAATTTTTTGTTAATCTAAACAATAAAGATGTGAAAGTATGTTAAGTTTTAATGTAGATCAGATCTTCGCAACTATGCGGTCTTTTTGGGTCAACCCGAAAGAGATGAGTTGACTTAAGGGAAATGGTAGATCATTAATCGTAAAAGAAAACGAATGATGTTATTCCGGAAGAAAGGGCTATATCAGCAGAAGGTTCTCAAGACCTATAAACTGCATAGAAAGATATATTTTTTGACCTATGATGTTTCTGAATAAAGTCATGTCTTTGAATGACTTATTCTGACATCTTTCAGTTAATAAGCGAGTTTGAGAAAAATATTTTTAGCCCGCGCTGATATAAGCTTTTCACCAATATTCAATATTGTATATAAATTACTTGGCAGACATCCGGACTTCCATCTAACTTGTCAGGCAATTGAACTTTTCTCATCACAATCTATACTAACAATTTTAGAGGCCCGAAGAAGTTGACATACCGAGTATAAAGCTCATACAGGATACGTTCCGTTTGACTTAGCGGCAAAAGGAAATTGATTATTCGTAAAGGGGCTTTCTTCTGAAATCTTCTACATCCCTTAATATTGCAGGTCTATTAAGAGATCTTGTGCAACCATTTCAGTATAACAACAAGTTCCTATTGTGAAGCCACGTCAACCTTAATGAATATTTAAAAATAAAATACATTTTATTGTCAAGTTTATTCATAGCGAAGTCAATTTTAAATTCAATCATCATTTTAACAGACAAAACGCACCATTTCAGACATGCTTATGCATGTATATGGTCGCTTGTTATTATGGATATTATTTATTTTACTCATACAATATTTTCATTACCGCTACGTGCAATTTTTGCTCTAATGCTTTCTACGCCATTTTTTTTAATTCATTTTGAAAATTTCCACCATTTCTCATTATGGCTGTTATAGTTGGCTGTTAGTATACATTACTTTGCCATTCATATACGTTAAGCAGCAAAAATGCTAAGCGTGCCATTGTAGTCGCACTGCAAGTAACATATGGTAGCTTGGGTACTGGTTTTTCTATAAATAACCATTTTTTTTTTCATTATTATGAATGAGAAAAATCGCACTCCCTCGCCGTAAAGACTTTGAATTTTTTCAATTTATTTTGATATAGTTTACCTTTCACGTAGGTTAGGCTTTATGGTTATGGATTATATTCTGTTTTCTTTGCAAATAAATTGTAGTAAATTGAATTTCATTGTGGATTTAAGAAAAAAAAAAAAGATTTTTTTTTATAAATTTTTAAGAAAATAAATAAAAATTTTGCAGTATATTAATGCAAGTTGAATGACTAGTGAGCGTATAAAGTATTTAACGAAAAAGATTTGAACCTAAAAATGATTAGCGCGAACAATTATATTCACTTCACGGCATATGAATTCGTGTTAGACAAGTACATGAGCTGTTCATAGTTTAAAACGATTAACTTACTTGTTATATTTAAAATAACTGTTTTAACTAACAAGGCTTAAGATACTGCATGACAACAACAATTTTTATGGCCATTGAATAATAAATGTTCCCTTTTTTTTTACACAAGAGAGAAAGAAAGATAGTGAGAGCAAGAGAGAGAGAGAGAAAGGAAGAGAAGTATGTATATAAAAGTTTGTCAACATGTGCTTACTGACTCAGTCTCCGTTGTAGCGAGTTATGCAAAGATGGCTACAATTTCTCGCTCATATTATACGAATCTATCTTACATGAACATGGGATCTATACAATTCGTTAATGCAGGACATCGGATACCTATCTATCATTGTTGTTTATTTAGATTTCAGGTGTAGCGTATTTTAGAGCAGACCTACCACATTTATTATTTGTTTAATGCCAGACATATAGCACCTGCTGAGTGGATAGACAAACACAATGACGTGCATCTAATATGGGTTCCTGGCGATTCGCTGCTTGAAAGGAACGACAGAGCTGACTGTCTAGCAAACCGGTGGCTCGAGGAATCATGTTAGTTCTCGAATCTTTCAATGGTATACCAAGAAACCATATTAACATGCTAGTAAGAGTAAGCCGTGTAACAAACTGTCTAGCAACCAGCGGTCGCGAGGGGTCATGTTAGGTTCTGAACCCTTTAATGACGTACCAAGAAGCCATATTAACACGCTAGTAAGAGTAAGCTGTGTAACAAACTGTCTAGCAAACAGGGGACCCGAGGCTAGAAGCCATATTACCAGCCTGGTAGCATAATGGGAAGGGATTGCCATTGGTAGCAACGCGCAGAACGACGGCAAACAAACAAATTCGCAACATCTTCCGGTATAGCAAACAAACTACTGTGAAGGAGCAATCTGCGCTTAGTCGCGGATCATAATATCCTCAGGTCCCAACTGAAAAACATGGATATCTCCGATACCGATTTAAGTAGATTCTGGTAAGGTACGAGAGAGATGAATGTGAATGTGCAGAATCAGATGCCAAGTATTTGGGCGAGCGCCTTGTGCTCCGAACCAAAGAAGGCGGTGAGATTCACAAGAATACTATAGCTGGACGGTTAGGGGCAGGGGCGAGTACAATAGATCTTTTAGGTCGCGGCGCTTGTTGCCCACTCAATTAATAATAATAATAATGATATGAGCAGAATGCTTGAGGGGGGCAATGCCAGTCGCGAGAGTCGAAAAATCATTCAAAAATCAAGTCGAGCCAAGCGAGTTCAATCGCAATATTCGAACGGACAAGATCAGTGCGAGAATTAAAGCATAGTAAATAAATAAATAATAAGTGCTATCCTAAAAGTCACAATTCAGCGGTACAAACTTAATTTCAAAAGGAGATAATGAAATAAGGTTTACGTTACAATATAACAGGGATGATCTACCGTATTCAGTGTTTAAATAATGCCAGACATCGGTTACCAGACTAACATTATGATTGATGTACCTTTCAAATGTAAAATCGCGAGAAAAAA